TCATATATTTTTTGTGGATTTGCGGATTTTTAAGGATTTTGAAGGATTTCCGTGGATTTTTGAAGGATTTCTGTGGTTTTTATAGGATTTTTCGGATTTTGATGGATTCAACGGATTTTGAGGATTTCATGGATTTTTTCTGGATTTTTTCCGGATTTTTTGACGAAGTGTACGGGATTTTTGGAGTGAATTGCCCCTCGGTTATTTTTTATTTGAGCTGCTATAAATGTTACTAGCTCATATAAGATCTGTGAAATTAGTGCTAAAACATAAACAGTTTTGTCAAAAAATTAAAAGGCAATATGTCTGGATCAAATAAACTGACTAGAAGCAAACTGATATCTTGAAATATAGATTAACATGCTGACAAACTGTTACAGATTAATCAAGTTATAAATTCACATCGAGTATTATATAATTTATATTTGGCTTTTAAGATGTTTTCTTTCAAACATTGTGATTTCAGGAAACACTCGATGTTATCACCATATACCGCTGATAATACTAATTGTGATCGCGGGCACTGACAAAGAACGCCCGGGATGTAGTAAAATCCAAATACTTGTCGCCGCCATGTTTGTTATGAATACATATGGATTGAAGGGGATTGGTGGGGTTTTATGTGAATACATATGGATAAACACTAACCGGCTCATTTTGGCCCCTGTTGGTACCCAAAGGGTTAAATATGAATACCGAATTTTCAGTTTAACAATTTAATACGCAATTTTTTAATGTCAAATTTTATGTATTTTGCCGAATCACCCTTGGAAATGTGGATTTGTAAGCGCAAAAATTCCTTCTCATCCCTCGATGTTATAGAGGCGTGTGAATTTTTTCATGCTTACAACTTTAGCAAAAACTAATGGCAAGGTTCCTCGTTCAATTTAATAGTACAAACTAGAAAGCACTTGCAAGTCTTTTAATACTACGGTTTACACACCTTCTTCGACTGTGCATACACACCTTCTTCGACTGAAACGCTTGCAAGGAAGCTTTCAAAATGTGCGGCGTGACAAGCCGTGGAAAGTGCAACATGACATGATAAACATGGAAAGTTCCAGTATCTATATTTTGGTTCTAGCAATTCTTCAATTGGTATTTCTTAATTAAAGGAAATAAAAAATGTCCTCGACTATTTCGATATAGCAAAGCTATTTCATGTTGGAGCGACATAAATAATGTAGTGCAGATAACAAAAATCATTATCGTATTTTTTCACGTGCACCCTACAATTGAAAAGAACTTTTCAGCTTTAGATTATGAAATCGCAAAAATATTGGGACGTTTTGCTCCTCAAATCAACATGAAATTCTGCACACATCCCCTCTCCCCTTCTACACTCCATGTTCTTTGCTCTTCAGACACGGGCAAGTTTGTTAGTCGTGTTTGTTAGTCCATGCTATTATGCTTATATACAGTGTGATTCTTAGTCATGTCTTGATTGCCTTGGAGAATGTTACAAGGAAAGCCTTCAGCCTGGGTTGAGATTCAGACTCGTTCATTCAGCTGAAGTTTCACATGACATTTCTATAAATATAATCATCGTAAACAGTATCATCGTGTTGGGTGTCGCTCTTTGAGTAAAGAACTCACAGTGCAATCAGCTTCCGTCCATTCTTTCTTCATGATGTTCCAAATTATAATTTGGGAAGAGTTGTTCAAGATGTTTCTATCCTCTCAAGTTTCGCATATGGCATTGAACTGGACGCCAAATTCCATCAAGGAACATTTTCCTCCCTCGACGTCTAGTAAATATCCCTGCGTGTGCATTGCAACGATATTCCCATTCAGATAAAAAAACAGGAGAACCGCTAGAGCCAGAAAATAGAGTCGTGTCGTATGGAAGACATCCTTGTTTTTCATATTTGTTGATACACGCCCGTAGTAAACCGTCATTGGTCATGTGCACGCCAGGAGAAATTTGTAAATTTGCATTACGCCTTTGCTGAAATTTCTCATTTCTTCGTTTACATTTCTCATGGATCTCACGCCAACAGTGGTTGCTGACAGAAACGCATGTTTCTTCTACATTTTGCTTCCTCCAGGATGGCCAACGATAACAACCAGACCCTCTCGTAATAAACAGTTTCTAACAATAGGACTAAGACCTTTACGATCTTTAAGAGCTTCGCATTCTTTCAAACGCAAAAATTTATAATCCAGGTGAGAACTTCCAAGCTGGAGATCGTGTTCTTCATCAATTTCTACCTTATATTCATGTTCTGGTTTTGCAGGTTCAAAATAATCAAACAAAACTTCAATGGGCAGGTGGGGATTTTTAAAATGCGCTCTTTCTTCCATGAACGACATATAAACGTGATAACAAGTTATCACCAGCATGTCTGTGACAAGCCAACATGTTCCTACCTTTTCTCCGCAAAAAATTAGGCCAATAGATTTTATGTAAGGACAAAGACGCCGAAACAAAATAGCAGGTTTTTACTCGAGTTAATTTAAGTTACAATATAATTAAAACTTTACTTGTTAGCTAGTGAGAGATTTAAAGTACATAAATATACCCAAGGAGTTGTTTACTAATATACCGTGATTCACTGAAGCGAGTGAAGGGTTTTGGCTTTCATTTCAATAAATAGAAAGTGTTACCTGTAATTACTGGCTCTGATTCTCGAAACACGACAACATTCTCTGATTTTTTGTCTTCACATTCACCTGAATATATTAATTTAAAAATTATTCGGATTAGATAAAACATACCAAATATCGTGTATTAATTGAACACTATTCGTAAGACAAATACATGCCGTAAAATCGTACATTTGTAGATCAACACACGTTCGAACGTCTTCTTCTCATGTGGACGGCAGAAAATGCACTCATTTCAAAAGAAGTGCGGCTTAATTCAGATTCATTCACTTCTTACAAGCTTCTTAGAAAGTCCAAAGTGTGTGTGTGCGGTAGCTAAAACTTTTTTTCTTGTGATGATACATAACGGTGAATACATTCGCTGGAAGATGGAATGTACCATTCAACTCGGCTGTCGCCACGTTGAATGGAACATTCCATCTTTCACCTCATGAAAATATTCTTACCATTGCACGAATAAAAACATTCATTACCGTATTTGTTTTAACAATACCAAAATAGACTAATATGCATGCGTGCATGCACATATATTTATTTAGCAAAGTTTTGGAAAGCTTTCTTAAACAAATACACGTGGTCTTTCCACTGACACAGCAAAACAAAAAACTGGTACTGGTGAGGGCGTTGCTTTCTGCTCTGTAGAATTTATGTGCTCACGCGTGGTTTCAACTTTGTGAGAAGCAATAAATGTGAGAAATATTCTAAATTGATCTACGACTTAAATATACAATATAGGCCTACAGTACAGGGTGTGTAAAAAAAGGTAATCCAACTTTGACATGTTATATATCGTGCGTTAATTAATGCGTCAATAGGTTTTCTTTTTCGTAATTATAAAGATCGGGCTCTTTTAGTTTCAAATGACACCTACATGAAATGACTGCGATAAAAAATGACCAAATGCGATCTGATTTAAAGTGATCGGTTGAATTCACATTTTTCCACCTTTGCGATTTAAATGTTGTTCTTCCACTTCGAACATTTGCCCAAATGTTTGTTGCCCATTTGCGAAACGTACATATGCCAGTGTGAGCGCAGTCTGCAAGCTTCCAGTGTTGTAAAATGTTTTAACCACTAAATTTCGATGTAAAATAGCGATTTGAAAGTTTATCAAAACTTGATCCTTACACATGCGTTCCGCCATATTTACTCAAGCGACTTCAATTTAAAGTGCCACTGCGATGGAAAATTGTGCTGTCTTTTTATTGTATATTCAGAAAGTATGTCTGTAGATAAACAAAATTACCAAATATCAGCGTCCAATTCCATTTCCTTCTGCCTTTTTTTTCAACGCAAACATGCAAATTTTTCGGCCGCCATTTATACTGAGTTGCCAATTAGCGAGATGTTGATTTCTTAGCCGGATGTGACGTCATTTACTCAACACGCTTCTTTCCCGAAGGAGAAATTAATATTATCAAAGGCTTATTCTAGGCTGTTTTTTGTTCAAAATTATGTCTTCTGACGAAAGCCACAGCTCAAATTTTGCAACACAATCATCTTGCGAACTCTCTTTTGCCGAAGACGTTTCTTGTGATAGCGGGGGTGATGTAAATATGGAGAAAAGTGTGGATTTGTGCGAGGCCTATGATACTTCAGTCGAGCCTGTCGAGGCTCTTGCCACTGAAAAAACATAATACACGAAAAGTACTATAACTGACAGAGAGCAAGAGCAGCAAACACTGTCTGCTGGATTGTCTGGGGAAACCTTAACGGGCACCTGGTACGTTTTGGATTGTATTTATTTACGTTTTGGTTTATATATTTGTGACATAAAACAAACATGTGATGGCCATGTTTAACAAAACAAATGGTCACTGGTCTCCTTATAAAAAATCATTGTCACCTCCGTTATATTGCACGAAACGTCTTCAATGAGAGATGGCTTAAAGATGACTGTGTTGCCAAATTGGAAATCCTAACTCACGTAAGAACACATATTAATTTGCACAAAGTTGTGGGAAATATATTTCAATTATATATATTAATATAAATATATTATAAACTTCAATAGTATACTTCAATAGTAACTGTGTCCTGGCTCATTGTTGTTTATGTGAACCTTGTGAGAAAAAATGCTGGAAGAAAACATGCATGACCAGCATTTGATATTGGTTGTATTTGAATACCTTCTGGAAATATCAAGACTTTTAGTATACCCCCATTCCATTGGAAATCTTGATGCAATGGTCAACACCACCCCCTATCCTCTTGAATTTCCGATCTCTTCTGTAGCAGGGTGGGGTGTGGGGGGGGGGGTATGGCTATTTCCTGGAACTATGCAATTTGACTGAGTCATGTAGGAGTAATTTTTGGCATTAAGCATTCCCTCAAAAGGCAACCCCCAGACATATTTGCATGTTTTTCTTTAAAAAGAATGACTACCAGGTAGGTTGGTGAGAAAAAGAGCACTCCCTACTCTGGCGATGAGTGGTAAGAAATTCTCATCAGCCAGGGGCAGCCAAACTGATACAATGTCATGATCTGAGTATCATATTCTGAATTTAGTAATGTTTGAATCCCTGTAAAGGTGAGCAAGGTACTGAAATATCCTGTCATGTGAACAAGAAAACTTGAAAAGCCTATAGCTAAGTTATATGTAAGCCAAACAAGGATCTTGTATTATGAATCCTGGTGTTTTTGTGCAGAACACAGCTCACAAATAACATGATAGTTTTTGGATTACTAAATTTTAAAGCTGTCATGTTAATATATAAATTTTCTTTTTGAAAGTATGTTTCTTAGGGCAGTTGCATATCAAGTAGTGAAGCTTGTGTGGAGCTGTATACCAACAGTTCAAGAAGGTACCCCCTTCCTTGCTGTGCATATGCCAAGATACGGTTTCTGTCTTGTTTATGTGAACAATGAACATTTTGCCGAGATATTTTTTAAAACACCGACATCATGCTTGAAAGTATGATAGTAGTAAAAAACTGTTCAGAATTTCCATAGGGGTGGGGGAAACAAGCTGTCAGTGACAATTAGAAAAATCTAGAGGGGTGGGGGTTCATAATTAACTAAATCTCTTCCATTAGCAGGGGGTATTGCCTAGAACTACACATTGAAATACTTAGTCTGGTTCACTCTTTTTCCCTTCGGTATACAGAGTGGTATAATTTGGCAGCCTTTTAATCAGGTTTTGTAACTTAAACCAGGAAGTTTTAACACCCAATGTTTCAAACAACCAATATCAAATGCTGGATGCTCAGTTTAATAAGCAGCAGTCATGCATGTTTTCTTCCAGCATTTTTTCTTACAAGGTTCACATAAACAACAATGAGCCAGGACACAGTTACCACATTTATACCTATGGATCATTAATATATTAAAGTATACTATTGAAGTATACTATTGAAGTATATAATATATTTATTAATATATATAATTGAAATATATTTCCCACAACTTTGTGCAAATTAATATGTTTTCTTACGTGAGTTAGGATTTCCAATTTGGCAACACAGTCATCTTTAAGCCATCTCTCATTGAAGACGTTTCGTGCAATATAACGGAGGTGACAATGATTTTTTATAAGGAGACCAGTGACCATTTGTTTTGTTAAACATGGCCATCACATGTTTGTTTTATGTCACAAATATATAAACCAAAACGTAAATAAATACAATCCAAAACGTACCAGGTGCCCGTTAAGGTTTCCCCAGACAATTCAGCAGACAGTGTTTGCTGCTCTTGCTCTCTCTCAGTTATAGTACTTTTCGTTTCAGTGGCAAGAGCTTCGACTGAAGTATCATAGGCCTCGCACAAATCCACACTTTTCTCCATATTTACATCACCCCCGCTATCACAAGAAACGTCTTCGGCAAAAGAGAGTTCGCAAGATGATTGTGTTGCAAAATTTGAGCTGTGGCTTTCGTCAGAAGACATAATTTTGAACAAAAAACAGCCTAGAATAAGCATTTGATAATATTAATTTCTCCTTCGGGAAAGAAGCGTGTTGAGTAAATGACGTCACATCCGGTTAAGAAATCAACATCTCACTAATTGGCAACTCAGTAATGGCGGCCGAAAAATTTGCATGTTTGCGTTGAAAAAAAAGGCAGAAGGAAATGGAATTGGACGCTGATATTTGGTAATTTTGTTTATCTACTGACATACTTCCTGAATATACAATAAAAAGACAGCACAATTTTCCATCGCAGTGGCACTTTAAATCCCAAATGAGAATAATTTCAATACTAAGACTATTTATAGCTTTACATCCAATTCAATGGTGGAAAAATATGATTTCGACCGGCATTTTTAAATCGATCGGATTCTATTTGGCCATTTTTGATCGCAATGATACAAGAAAGGTATCATTCGACAGGTATTGACCTTTATTGGTATGAAAAAAGTAAATGGATAAACGTAATATATAATGCACAATAACATGCCAAAGTAGGATTATCTTTTTTATATACCCTGTATAGGAAAAACGAGAAAAGTAAGTCCAAATCATGTTCGTCTTGAATATCAATGTTGGAATAATGACCTCGTATTATTTACTATTATTTACGTAGATCGCACGTTGTGTTCCACAAAATATAGCAATGTGTAATAACTACCTGTGTCGGTATTCTTTGCAACGTTTTGGGATTCCTGAATTGACTCCATCGCTTTTTCTGTATCTCCGAAATTAAACCAGGCAACTCCCAAACCAGTAAGAGCCTTCTCATGCAAGAGGTGATCACAGGGCTCATTTCCAAGAATATCCAATGCCTTCTCGTGCCATGCTATTGCCTTCTCGTGATCAAAATCTCCAGAATAACTTGATGCCAAATTTAAATATAATATTCCTAATCTCTGAATTGCGACTACTTGCATTTCTTTATCCTTCAATTCTTCACTGATACTTAAAGTCATTTGATAACATTCAATGGCTTTCTTGTGTTGCTTTAATTTTTGAAAGGTATCACCGAGCATGAGACAGGCGTTGGCTTCTTCTTTTCTCTCACCAAGATCATGAGATATTTCCTGAACTTTCAGATACGATTTGACAGCAGCATCAAACTTACAACTCTGGTAGTATAGATATCCCAAATTTGTATATGCTTCCTTTTGGAGAACTTAGTCATTCATCTGTTCTGCTACTGTGAGGGCTTTCAAGAAATACTTTCGCGAAGACTCAAAGTTGTCAGTATAACTAAATGCACTTCCTAATCTTAGGTAAGCGTTAAGTGTAAGCGACCTCTTTTTGTCTGCAAGCTGTGAAGCAAGTTTTACCACTTCTTTGTAATACTCTATGGATTCTTTGTACTGACCAGCTTGCAGGTGGTTGTAACCCAACCATTGATATGCTATTACTTCCAACTCATCTCCCTCGAGGCGTGGAGATATTTTACGTGCTTTCTGATAATATTCGACTGCTTTCTTATACTCGGAAGTTACAGTAAATACGTTTCCCAAGTGTTGATAAGCTTTTGGTTTGATGTCATTCTGATTTATTTCATCCGCAATTTGAACTGCTTGTTCGTAGCTTTTGATAGCCTCTTCATTTCGGCCTTCTCTTTGGTAAGAACGTCCCAAGATTAATAATTGTTTGGCAGACGCAATTTTATGATCAGTGATACTTTCGTTTTCGATGTCTGTTTGTTGACTTTGTTCCACATTATCAACAGTTTCATCGTGAAGTTGAGCGTCGTGTAATGAATAGGAGGTTTGAACGCTATTAGTATTATAATCATCGTTGACTGCATCTAAATCTAAAGAATAACATTACAGTCATATTAACATTATTCAAGCGATTTTGCACGTCAAAGCAAGGCAAGAGTTTGTGAGCAAGCGAGCAACGCAGAAGAAAGAACACCGAAAATGCTCCAAATAAATTATTTATCAAAACTTTGTGTCAATGTATGGGTCCACAGTAATTGCATTGATTTAAGCAGTTGTTGTGTCTCCGCCTTTGCATGGCATGAATATTTTCGTGTGTATGAAAATTGTTATATTTAGCAGTGCTATAAATATTAAATACAAAAAGCGAAAATGTGTTACTCAAGATGGCCATGGACAGGCGCATTCGACAGTTTGCTAAACATGGGCTTAACTTTGGGATTATATAATGAGTTTCCCTACCATGGGTTCAGAGGTTTTCTGATGTCACGCCGGCACTTTGACAGGTCTCCCGTCTCCATGCAAGATTGGGCAGCACCGCCTTAGTGCACAATACAGCTTCAGCCAAACAGGAAAGCCCATATTCTAGGGTAAAGCTACCCCTCAGGGCTTCTTAAATAATTCTTACGAAGTTTAAGATAATCTCAAGTTTTTACTTGAACCGAACACATTTTTGTAATTTGCAAACAATCTGAACTTTTTATTTTTGTAATATAACAATGGCCTAAGCAACCTGGACATTCAAATGCCTAAACATACCTGCAATTCTTGACAATTCTTCAATTGCATTTCTCGCAATATTTCCTTTGTGTTTATTTTCTAGTTCCTTTGCAATTTCCAAGGCTTCCTCATAGTATTTAAGAGAGGATGTCCACAAAAATCAAACATAAGGCGGCCACGACGGAAAAATCGATTTTGCTCAAATTTTGCCCAGATATACCTTATTATATCGGAAAATGCACCATATATTTTTTTAGGTCAAATGCTTTTTTAACTTTGAGAAAATGCCGTTTTAACACGACCACCCTAAATCGCCATTTTGTCTGGGAAAATATGCGCTGATTTTACCGACAAATTTCACGATGAAAACCGTTTCTAATCAATCTAAAACCCTAAAAATCTTGTTTTCGGTTATTCAAAGGACCGGGTACGTGACTTACAGGAAATCTGAGTTACTTTTAGGAATAGAAATAATCGTAGTTTTGGAGCACACTATCTTACCTCATTTACGATACCCTCTTAACAAAACCGATTTTCACCATGGGATAAAGCTCCAAATCGATCATGCTTCTACTAGTTGGCTCTTTAATAAACAAGCTTTCAATTGACGTAAATACTTCTTTGGGCAAATGAATACGCGATAAACGGCAGCGCGTTGAAATCGTCCGTTTTTGACGTCTTGCAAGCAAACGCTGTTAATTTACATACCGTCGAAGTAAACAATTTAATCAAGTATTTTAAGTATTTTACCTTTTGTTAAGAAGATATATTCTTGAATGGAGACTTTTTGCCTTGCTAAGTTTAAAATTGGTCCAGAAATCCCGATATATTTGTGAAATATCATCATATACAGGTATTTTGAGATATAATATTGTTGTCAGTTGCATGATAACTTCAGATCACTGTTCAATATTGTCTACTTTTAATAGCGCTAACATACAAAGCGATGAGCTGTTTAGGGATTATATTTGTTACTAAATTTACCAAAATAATTAGAACTACAACTGCTGTTTTCAGAGGTTTTGTTCCATTTTGTCCATATTATTAAATTAATGTACCAGTTATGTATCGACTATAATGTTTACGAAGACGTAAGTTAATTATTAAGCAGGTGTTAGCGTGCGTGACATGAAATGAACGTTTATTATAAGTAATAGCATGGCTTGAGGGAGATTAGTGATTAAATGGCCCCGTAACCCGAGGCAGGTTTGCGGAATTCCCGAGGGCGAAGCCCGAGGGAATTCCGCAAACCTGCCGAGGGTAAGGGGTCATTTAATCACTAATCTCCCGAAAAGCCATGCTATTAGTTTGTAATAGCATAGTTTCGCTCCCATTTCAAAATGGACAAACATGCCCTACTTGGAATCAGCGTATTTAAGCTAAAACATTTGCTTCATTGCTTGTGGGATGTAAAAGCTTGTTGCACATGCGCACTTTTTACGCTTTAATCGGTTACGCATGCGCAATCTATCATTTAACGTACCACAACAAAAACGCTAAATATATTAGTATAAAATTGGAGACTGCACGAACGTAATTTAAATGATGCGGCAACTCAGGGATCGGATGATAGACTATTGACGGCTCTGAGCTAACTGTTGCTGTTCCTTGCACGATTATGTGCGTGAGGCACTTGCCTAATGCGTAGTCGTCAGGGAGACAAAGGTGTGACCCTTGGTAACGGGCGATTAGTTCTAATCGCCCGCTCTAGCGGGCGATTAGAACTAATCGCCCGCTACAGCGGGCGATTAGTTAGTAATCGACCCTGTTGAAACAAAAGAAACCCGGGCAACTATGCTATTATAATGTTTATCAATATAAGGAGTTTTTATTTTTAGTTTACCAGCCCTTATATTTGAATAGCCGAATTCATATTAGGGACGAGAAACTCGTCTTAGACGGAAACTCGTCTGTGAAAACCCGCCTGAATATGAATTTAGGTACGGATAACTTCGAATTTAATTAAGACGAGTTTCCCGTCTAATACGAGTTTCCCGTCTCTAATATGAATTCGGCTAATGAGTAATGTGTGTTAAAACTGCAAGGTCATTAAATCTCATTAAAATCCCACAGATCACAACGATTATACGTATTGATTGTTTCTTGACGATAGTAGACGCGTACGCATGCATGTTGCGTAAGAGGTTATTTCAATTCGCTGGCCCAGGGGCGTAGGAAGCACCTGGAGTTTGGGGGGGCACCGGCTTGTAGGGGCACATTACTATCGGAAAGGGCACCTAAAAAATTTTTCCCGGAAATGTTGTCGACGGGGGGGGGGAGAAATTTCTCCTGAGGAAAATTTTCCGTCGTATCATACCGAAATTTATGTTTGTGACCTAATTTTTAAAAAAAAATTGTAAATTTCCACACAAAAACGGCACCTATTGTTTTAATTTAGTATTTACAGCGACATTAGCTTCTACAAACGGGGCACTTTTCCTCACAAAAAAGGGCACTTTTCAACACAAAAAG